ACCTTCCAGCCACAAACAGCAGCGGCTGCTAGCAACACCCGGAGCGTAGGAGCCTTGGCAACAGGAGCAAACACCTCTTGAAAGTCAACCCCCTCCCTCTGCTGGAAGCCCTTGATGACAAGCCTTGTTTTGCGCCTCTCCAACTTCCCCTCCGCATCGGTCTTTACACGTAATATCCACATGCAGTCCAATGCCTTTCTTCTCGGGGGCAGATTGGTGAGGGTCCACGTTCCATTCTCCATGAGGCTCTGAAACTCATCCTCCCTTGAAGCCAACCAAGCCTCTCGATCATCTCCAGCAAGTGCTTCCTCCATTGAAGCCGGTTCACGAGGCAAGTTGACACCGAAGCAACAAATCTGCTCCATCTCTACCTCGGCTCCCTTCTCCTCGTCATCTTCCTCCTCCTGGACAAGCAATGCCTTGGGACCCCCAAGCCTTTCATACTTGAGGAAATCCCTTGGTTGAGCAGCTCTCTTGGGCCTCTCTTTAGCTGCACCTTCCTTAGCTCCACCACGGACAGCACCACACTTCCCTTGGGGTCCGCCTTGGTGGAAGTGTAGGGGATGGTGTAGGCTGCTGCACCTCCTCCTCGGCATCACCTCTCTCAGCTACAGGGGCCTCCTCTTGCTGCAACACTCCCTCCACCTCTGCTGCCTCCCCTTCAGCACCTCCCAAGCCATGTGACACCTCCGTCACCTCTGAAGATGAAGACAACTCGATGGGAATGAGAAGTGGGTCGTTCGTTCCCACCTCCATTCCAAGCGGAATGGTCACCTTGCTCCTCCCCCATTCCAACCACTCCTTGAACATGAGCCCCTCCATGAACTTGGCATCTCTGGTGGTGGAGATGGTGTTGTTTTTTGGGTCCCACATGAGCCAGCCTTTGCTCCCTCGAGCAAGACCCAAATGAACAGCCCACACTGCCGCCGCTTGAAGCTTGTCACGTTTCTCCTTAGGGATGTGCACAAGTCCCATGCACCTGAAGACTCGAAGCATATCCACCAAGGGCTTCTTGCCTCTTCAATTCTCCATAGGGACCCAATGCTGCCCTCCCACATGAGTCAATACTCGGTTCTTGATGACGGTGGCATGGCGAATAGCGAGGGGCCAGAACCGTAAGGGTAGACCCGAGTCTACCAACATCGTTCTCCCGCCCTCCATGATGGTCCGGTTCGCTCTCTCTGCCACGCCATTGGATTGAGGGGTGTAGGCCGTGGTGAGCTGCTGCTTGATGCCGTGCCGCTTCAGCCAGCTCCGGAACTCCGCTCCCAAGAACTCCCCACCACGGTCGCTACGAATCGCCTTCACCCGCTTGCCGCTCTCTCGCTCCACCATGGGCAGCCACTCTTCAATGATGACCCTTGCAGCATCACTCTTCTTTGCAAGTGGAAAGGACCAGGTGAGCCTCGTGTTGTCATCCACCATGGTCATGGAATACAGGGCCCCACCATCTCCCTTCACCTTCATGGGTCCCACGAGATCCACATGCACGAGCTCCACCGGGTCACTCGACTTCCCCTCCACCGAATGGAAGGGAAACCGTGAAAACTTGCTGGTCAAGCAAGTCTCACAAGATCCCACCTCCTTGGGCTCCCCCTTTATCCTCAGCCCCTTGACTCTTTCCTCCTTGAACAGCTGCTGCAACTGAGGTAGCGCCACGTGGCCAAAGCGACGGTGTGCGGTGAGCCAATTCGTCTCACCCGGGCTAGGAGTTCCACTTGGTAGCGCAGCCCCACCATGCCGAAGAAGCCCACCATCACTGTCATCACCACATCCTCCACTGTCCACGTGGTTAGCTCGCCCTCCTCTCACATCTCCAGCAGCCAAGCGCGCAGCCGCCTCCTTCCATGGCAGCACCGGTATCTCCCACATGGACCGGTGCATGTCCTTGCCGCCTCGGAGGTCCCACAACACGCGCCCATCCAGAGTTGCCTTGAAAACCTTTGTGCCTAGCATCTCCATCTTCATCCCTGCCTCACTCAGGGCCTTGGTAGAGAGTAGGTTGGCACACAATCCAGGAACAAGGAGAACACGCTTCAGCCCCACAAGCCTCCCATCCGCACCCATGAACATGGCTCTCCCCTCGCCACGCACGGGTACAACTTGGCCGGTGGCTGAAACGACGGTGGCTGCCTTTGATGGCCTGACTTCATCCAGTAGATCCTCTCGGTTGGTCATGGTCATGAAGGCCCGTCGATGACCCAATGAGAGGAGCGGTGAAGAGCAACCTTGCTGGCCGGCACAACCATGTCCTCGGAGCATGCCTCTCCTACATGGTAGAACATGCCGCTGTTTCCGCCAGCACCTCCATCGCCCTCCTCACTGCCCATGCCTTCTCCCATAGCTCCATGAACACCCTTGGAGCCCTCAAGTGATGGCTGACCAGGCCTCCAACCGTCAGGTAGCTTGCGGCACTTGAACCATGGGTGACCTTCCACATGGCAATACCAACACTTGCCGCCACACCGCTTGCCTCCCTTGTTGCCACGCTTCCCTCCCGAATGCTGCTCCCCTCCAGAGCCTTCCTTGGCCTTGCCTTTCTTGCTGCCACGCCCCTTGAAGCTCTTCATGCCGTAGGCAGAGCCACCACCTTCACCGGCAGCGGCGGTCAGCTCCTTCCTCCGAAACTCCTCTTGAAGAACTTGTGCGCGGATCCACTCAAAGGACCACGACTCCTTCATGCCATTGAGGTTGACCACCAAGGGCCCCCACGACTCCGGCAGCAGGGAGAGAGCCTTGTATCACTTGATCTTCTCAGGGTAGTCCACACCAGCAGCAAAGAGCTTCACATAGAGGTCCTGGAGTTTATCGAACGCTCCTTGTACGGCATCACCCTCGTTGATCTTCACCGCATGGAGTTGTCGCTCAAGCACCACCACCATCGCTTCGCTGCTGGGGGCATGGACATCCTTCAATATCTTCCATGCCTAAGGACCACACTGAACCTCCTTGATGAGATGCTTGATGTGGTGCAGCTGGTTGGATGAGAGGCATTGGGAGAGAAGGAAGAATCCATCCTTGGACCGGCGATCCCATTCCTTGGTCGCTCCTTCGCTCGCAGGCCTCTTCAATTCTCCATCCATCACTTCAAGCAGCCCATAATGGTTGAAGAGGAGCTCCATCCTGAAGCTCCATGATGCCCAATCCTCCCCAGAGAACTTCTCCAGGTTGAATGCCTTCACATCATCCTTAGCTGATGTTGAAACGGAAGCCATTGGTGCAGATCCGCCTGCAACGCCTCTTCCCTCTCCCCCAGCGCCTCTCACGCCACCACTGCCACTGGGACCAGCTGGAGCAGAACCTTCAGCCTCCATATTCACCCACGAACAGAGTAGAACAGCTCTGATACCACTTGTTATAGTCTAGAGTCCACTTAGTGGTCGCGGATGCCCATGAAACCGCCTAAGCAGAATCTGACAACTTCTAACCGCCTCTGTTGAAAACGCCGTCACGATCATCTCCAAAAACATACGAAACTGAAACTTAGATAGACGTTAGCTCTAGGTGTCTATTTTCCAACGGTATATTGCTTGCTTTCATCAGAGGTGTATGCGCTACGCAGTGAATGAAAACGTAAGCTCGGCCGAAAAAACGAGTAGTTTCATTGATGCAAGGGAGAGGTGAGTACAACATTGCCTAGGGGACTCTTATGAAGTTGGGGTCATCCTGGGAACTCAGAGAAGGTTGAGTCCTAGGGGAGAAAGGCTAGAGAAGGATGAGAAACGTCCTAGCTAGGTCAGCAAAGCCAACCACACTTGGATGTTCAGAGCTGTACTCAAGGCTACCAATAGTGAGTCAAGCCAACCATGAGTCAGCTTGTCTTCCCACTTGCACCCTCTTGCAAGCTGCTTCCAGGAAGACCACACTTCTCAAAAGGAGGGTGGTAGAGTCCCACTTGACCACCTGTACTTCTTGTCTCACTCTCTGTCCCTGCATCATTGGCATGACAACAATGAAAGGGTGGCAAGGGAAATGCTGCCAACAGTGCACCATGACAACGGAACAGTGACTTTCGACAGCTGTCACGCGCTGCTGCGATGTTGGATCGTTCTGAAACTTGGTGACCATCTGCACAACGCGGAAAAGGACTGCCAGACCGAATTTCAGACCAATCAGAGCTCGGTAGACGAGTCAGCAGCCGAAATAGTGAACTCGGGTGTTACCAAAAAAGAGTAACACACACTTCCGGGATGCCATAAGTCTTGAAACTTAAAATGTTGTCATGCCTTGTTAACTGCTTCAAAAATTCTGAAACTTTGAGGGTCTGATGAAGACATGTTGAAGAACCTCCCCTCAAAATTCCAGAAGCTGAGCAGGCTTGTAGGCTGAATGGGAGTGCGATGACCGTGCCACTATAGTGTGTCGGCACAAGAACAACATATTCGAGGGTTCCTACTTGTATCCCTAGTTTTCTAGTTCAATTCATTCCTGCTAGATCTTGACATGGTTTCAGAGCAGTAGGTCCGTAGGACCGTTCTTTTTTTCCGGGCCCACCATTAGCTAGTGACCGACTGCGGTTACCGCGCTACCCCACGCCCTGCCCTGCCCTGTGCCGCCCGCACGCGCCGCCCCGTGCAGCCCGCGCGCCTCCTGTCTGCAGCCTCGCGCGAGCCGCCCTTGCAGCCCACGCGCTGCCACTGCAGCCCCGCGCGCCGCCCTTGCAGCCCGCGCGCTGCCCCCGCAGCCCTGTGCGCCACCCCCGCAGCCCGCCCACTGCCTCTGCAGACCCGCGCGCCGCCCCTGCAGCCCGCGCGCTGCCTCTGCCGCTCCGCGCGCCGCCCCTTCAGCCCGCGCGCTGCCCCTGCAACCCCGCACGCCGCCTCTGCAGCCCTCGTGCTGCCTCTGCAGCCCTGCGCGCCGCACTTGCAGCCCCGCGCGCCACCACTGCAGCCCTCGCGCTGGCTCTGCAGCCCTGCGCCCGCCCCTGCAGCCCGCGCACTGCCGTCTGCAGCCCCGCGCGCCGCCCCTGCAGCCCTCGCGCCACCCTGCACTGCTACGTTATGGCCACGCTAGGTGTTCTCGACTTCAATCCTGAGGGCCATCCTATTAAGTTTAAGACTTGGCTTCAGGACCTACAGCTGTACCTACTGAGCGATTCGAAAGACAATGTCTCACTGTTTGACCTCACGTCTGGAGACTGTCCTGCCCCTCCCGACACAGCTGACAGTACGACTCGCTCACAGTGGCTTACTCGTGACGCTGCCGCTCGCCTAGCCGTTCGCAACCACCTGCCGATAGCCGAACGCGCTCACCTTGACCAGCCTAAAACTGCCAAAGCCCTGTACGACGCTGTAGTCGCCCGCTACTCTTCCCCTGCCAGTGCAGCTCTCGGTCGCCTTCTACTGCCCTACCTGTTTCCCGAGCTGTCCTCCTTTGCCCCAGTAGCGGATCTCATTACCCACCTTCGCACTAGCGACGCTCGCTACCGCGCTGCCCTCCCAGCCGAGTTCGTCCCCAAGAACGAGCCCCCCATTTACATCACTCTCTACTTTATAGTCACCCGTCTCCCTGACTCTCTTCGCGCAGTCAGGGACCACTTTCTTGCCCTTGACGCCACCAAGCTCACCATCGACCTGCTCGAGGAGCACCTCCTTGCAGCCGAGACTAGTGTAGTCGCTGTAGGTGCTACTCGTGGCACTCCTCGCACGCCCTTCTTTGAGGGGTGCTCCCCCTCCCCTCTTGCCCCCTCTGTTGCTTCTGCTGCTGCTGTCGACTTCCTTGGTGCTGAGGAGGTCGGTGCTGCTTCTGCTCCTAGTGGGAAGCGCCGCAGTGGCAAGGGCAAGGGAGACAAGAGCGGTGGGGGTGGCGGCAGGGGGGATGGTGGTGGAGGCGGTAGAGGTGGAGGTGGCGGTGGGAGTGGTGGCGGGAGTGGGGGAGTCGGTGGCGGTGGTGGCGGCAGTGGTGGGGGTGGCGATGGTGGTGGTGGTAGCGGCAGTGGGGGTGGTGGCGGCGGTGGTGGCGGCGGAGGGAGGGGTGGCGGCGGCAGTAGTGGTGGTCGGACCGGAGCAGTTCAGCGGCAGTAGCAGCAGCAGCGCCCGCGTGAGACCCTCATGCCCCAGCAGCTTCGTGAGTGGTTTGCTCAGCGTGGGGCGTCTGGGGGTAGTGCTCGCTGCCCGTACGTCATTCGCACAGGTGACCGCGCTGGTCAGACGTGCGGGAAGTTTCACACCCAGCACCGCTGCTTCTCCCGCCTAGACGACGCTTGGCGCACTGAGATGGGCGATGAGGCTAAGGGTACATTCCTGCGGGGACATTTGTGTCACAAACCCAATTTTCGCCAAGGTACCGCTCTGTTCAAAGCGGTTCGATTCGGTACAGAGCGAAACTAAGGTAAAAATTGGGTTTGTGACACAAATGTCCCTGCAGGAATGTACCCTAAGATGCCCCGCTGGGCAGATCTGTTGATTGTGTAGGTGGTTGTAGTATTTTGCTCTAGCTGGTTGTGGGCTAAGGGTTTGGGCAAAATGTGGTGGTTAGACTTGTTGCGGGCTGGAATTGATCTCGCACCCAACAAGCACCAACAAACCTTTGCTATTCACTACAACACCTTTGGTGTTGCTAGTTTGGCATTTTGGGTTGTTGGGGATTTTTGTAGGGCGAGGGTTGGGTCGGTAAGACAAACTCGTCACTTTTCAGATCTGAACTCTTGCTTAAGCCATTCCTAGATCTAATCCATGGCTGCCAAGTAATTCCGCCAGGATACCCCGTCACACTTGGTAATTCTGCCAAGTAATCGCGATAGCGATCGGCCTAGATCTTGGTTGAAGGCGTGCTTTAATATTCTGGAACGTAGAGATTAAGACCTTTCCAACGCGTACCTGCTCATATTTTTAGGTTACGTGAGCTGCACGCAATGGTTCGCCGAAGTCGGCAGACTTAATCTCTTGTTACGCTCTCCAGATTCGCGCGCTTTCCATCAGTGGTATCAGAGCTGGTTAGGCCTGCGACATTCCCTCTTATTATCATATTTCGAATTGGCTTAAGAACCTCCAGATCTAGGGTTGGTCATGGCCCAGAAATTAGATGGCCCTCCTAGGTTCACCGGCTCGGATTTTTCGCTATGGCGGTTCCAGTTTACGCTTTGGCTAGGTATCAAAGACCTAGAAGGCGTTTTGGAGGGATCGGAGCGAAGACCTAGAGCTGATGAAGCAGAGGCATCTGCTGGAGTGTCTAGCCAAGAGGGAGCAAGGGCTGGGGGAGCTTCTAGCTCATCTATAAGAGGTGGATCAGCAGCACCGCGAACCGGGAGGCAACGGCTTAGTTCGGAGGAGCTACTTAAGGCACAGGAAGCATGGGACCGCAAGGACAAGCAAGCGTTCCAGTACCTGTGTTGGGCTTTGGAAGGCCAACTAGAGCTCCTAAAGATGCTGATTGACCTGAAGGGGAAGCAAGGAGCAGCTGCCCAAGCATGGAAGAGAGTTCAAGATCGGCACTTGCAAAAAGGGCTGCTAAGCATACTCACCTGGAGGAAGCGGTTCTACACCATGGAACGCAACTATAGCGATGGGGAGACCATGGTGCAGTATCTCCAGAGGGTGGATGAGTATGTGAGAGCCTTAGAGGAGTTGAACTACACTGTAGATGAGAAGGAGATCATCTACACCGCACTCCAGGGGCTGGACCAAGAGGCGAACGAGGCCCTACTGCAGTACCTTCACCTTGAGCAGCAGAAATGGACCAAGGCCTGGATATGGGAGGTGTTGGTCTCTGATGAGGCTCGCAAAAGGGATGCTGGTAGAGGAGTTGAAGGGGGAATGGGGGCAGGTGATAGGGCTGCCTCCAAGAAATACCAGCAGCGGCAAGGAGGTGGGGGGAAGAAGAAGGAGCTCGACAAGTGCCTCGTCCCTGGATGCAACCGGAAGCACTCGTGGAAGGAGTGTTGGAGCCGGCCAGATGGGTGGAAGCCTCAAGGCTACCCAGGAGAGGCTCCACCTGTCACTAGGCCTGAGTGGGTGGAGAAGAGGATGAAGAATGGAGCCTGGAACAAGAAGGGCAGCAAAGGAAAAGCGGCGGCAGCAGCGGCAAATGATGGTGGGAAGGGAAAGGAGGAGTCTTCGGATGACGGTTTCTCCTTCCTTACCTTGGAGAAGGAGGCGGAGCTTGCTGGTCGTGTGTTGGCTGACCCCGATCACCTCGTTCTAGACTCAGGTGCCACTTGTGGAATGGTACCCCGTCGTGACCTCTTCACTACATATCACTCCCTCCCACCTAACTCAAGAAATGTGATCGTGGGGAGCGGAGATACGCTGCAAGCAATCGGCATCGGCACCATCACCGTCAAGGGGAAGGAGGGGGAGGTGCTGAATGTGAAGGGTGTGCTTCATGTTCCTGGATTGGCAGCCAACCTACTCTCATGCTCTCAGCTTGCTATACAAGGGTAGATATGCACTTTCACTTTGGGAGGGTGCACGGTTCGCAAGGGTGGAGCTGTGGTGATGGAGGCCAAGTTAGAGAAGGGTTTATACCTTGTTCCAGTGTGTGCGCCTCACATGGAGAAGGCACATGGGGTTGAAGCCGAGGATGCCGCTTGCAGCACCCGTTGGAAGGATGTGGAGCAGGTGACGGCAGATTTGCTGCACCTACGCATGGGGCACGCGGGAAAGCAACAGCTTGTGGAGTGTGTGAAGAAGGGGGAGCTGAAGGGTGTAGAGTTCAAGGAGGGTGGTGGGCAGCCAAGCAAGTGCCCTGATTGCACGACCGGGAAGCTGCCAAGGACCTCTTTCCCTACCTCCACCACTAGAGCCTCCGCACCTCTTGAGTTGGTGCACACGGATGTGTGTGGCCCCATGCAAACACCGGATAGGGAGAAGGGCAGCAAATACTTCATCACCTTCTTGGATGACTTCAGCCGCCTAAGTTGGGTTACCTTGGTGAAAACCAAGGATGAGGTGGCCAAGGTCTTCAAGCGTTGGATACGCTATGCGGAGAGGGAAGCCGGGGCCAAGGTGAAAATACTTAGGTCTGATCGGGGTGGAGAGTATATGGGGAAGGATCTGGAGTCTTTCCTTGAAGACAAGGGAATCACCCACCAGCTTTCAGTTGCCTACACGCCGCAGCAAAATGGGGCAGCAGAGCGGCTTAACCGGACCCTCATTGACCTTGCTCGAGCCATGCTTGCTCATGCACAGCTGGACCATACTTGGTGGGGGGCAGCAGTGCAATATGCCAACTGGGTTAAGAACCGGATGGGCAGCAAGGGGCTAGGGGGCAAGAGCCCATACTTCATGTGGACCAGGAAGGTGCCTAGTGTGTCCATGGCACGAGTGTGGGGGTGCATGGCGCAGTACAAAGTGCCCGACCAGCAACGGAGGAAGCTGGATCCCAAGGCACAATGGGGCATTTTCCTTGGGGTGTCAGAGAGGAGCAAGGCATGGGTGTTGTGGAGTGTGGCAGATCAGCGGGTGGTGGAAAGCCGGGACGTGGTTTTCCACGAGGGGCTGAGCTACAAGGGGTGGAAGGAGCATGGCACTAGTACAGTTGGGAGCTCCCTCCAGGATCCCTACACCTCTTCCATTTTTGAGGGGACATGGGAGGACCCTGGAGAGGAGGTAGAGGAGCAGCAAGAGGAACAAAGGGCAGCTGCACCTCACCATGAGGAGTCACCAAATGCTGGTTCTACCCCTGACCCTAACACACCAGCCCATGACCCGGAGCAGCCACAGGGGCAGCAGCAGCAACAAGAGAAGCCGCAGCAGCCACCGCAGCAGCATACACCGCCTGTTCCTGTGGGTAGGTGGCAGCAACAACTTCAGCAGCAGCTGTCCAAGTCACCACGGTCCCCCATGAAGAGAGTGACTTGGAAGGAGAAGCTGCAAAGTTTGGAGCAGGGGGAGGCATCACCTCTGCGCCGCACCACACGCATCTCCCGGCCACCTGAAAGGTTCACACCAAGTGCACAGTATGCTTGCATGCATGATCATGAGGTGCATGATTTGGAGGAGTGCATGCTTGTGGATGCTGAAAGGGGTGAGCTTGGGCTTGATTTCTGTCTCATGGGTCAGGTGCAGGAGCCTAAGATTGCATTCCTGGTCCGGACACCATCCGAAGTTCGGACACTTTGAGCTGTTATTTTATTTGTTTCCAAATGAAGGTCTTAATCTAGAGTTACCTCGTAGTTTTAAAGGCTCATGGATGCGCGAACCCAACTTACCCAGAAGTAACCGAGTCTCGAAGTATTTGTTGGGTGGACTCGGTCCACTGTGTTCCCTCACACTCACTGGCACATGTAGCATAGAGTGTACTCACAGTGTGAAGAAGTTCGCACGGTATTTCTCAATCCAACAAAAATTTGTAGGCTGTTGTTTAGGTCAGATTAAAACAGGGGGAGTAGGCTTACAGCATTCAAAAACCGCTACAGGTGTCCAAACTTCGGATGGTGTCCGGGCCACGAATGCAATCTAAGTCGGTCAAGGAGGCCTTGTCCCGTCCTGAGTGGGTCGAGTCCATGCGTGAGGAGCTTGAGTCTCATAGGGTGAACGAGTCCTTTGAGCTGGTTGATCCAGCTTGTGTGCCACCTGGAATGGAGGTCTTGAGGTGTCAGTGGGTGTGGAAGTATAAACACATGGCTGATGGGAGTATTGAGAGGCCTAAGTCCAGGTTGGTGGCCATGGGGAACACTCAAACACGAGGTGTTCACTATGACCAGGTATATACCCCGGTGGGTAAACCTACTACCCTGAGAGGTTCCCTTGGGATGGCAGCATCTTCGGGGTTTCACATCCATCATATGGATGTGACCACTGCCTATCTTCACGGGGTCTTGAAGGAGGAGCTTTACATGAGGCAGCCCCCTGGTTTTGATGATGGGTCCGGCAGGGTTTGCCGACTCAGAAAGTCAATCTATGGGCTAAAGCAAGCTCCAAGGCAGTGGTACCTCAATCTAGGCGCTGATGGATTTTGGTTTTGAGAGGTCGGAGTGTGACCCCGCCTTGTACCACTTGGTGAGGCGTGAGGGCAGGTTGTCCCTTTACCTCTATGTGGATGACATTCTGCTCTTGTCTTCGAGCATGGTCTTGCTGGACGA